AACCTGAATACATCCAGTCTTACTTGAGCGAAAGAGAACTGGTTATGTGGAATTACTCACCAAAGTCTGGCATTCCTCACGCATTCGGCGAAGAGTAGCATCACGATCGTTAAGAGCCATTTCGTATTGTCGTTGATCATCGCTAAGCTGAAACATGACTATTAGGCGGATTCTGAAGGATCACAGGTGCGTTAAACCAACCCGAAAGATTGTTTGGTTTCTCAAAAGGGGACTAGAAGATTTGAGAGTTGATTGTACACTAAATGGGGAAATTTCGGGATTTCATGTCGAAAGAGGCCTGTTTCCACGGGTCAGAAGTGGGACCGCAACGCGACCGCACCGCTGACTTGTAAGTCGTGAGGACGGGGATGAGAAAGGTGAACCTGCAGCCTCAGAAATTCAACGAAAATTCATGAAAGTGGAACTCCGAGGACAAAACTCTCATCTAGGATGACAAAGAACGCAAGGGCAGGTGGGCACAATTTCTGGGGGCGGGCGGTTGGCGTCAACGTCACTGTCGCGAGAGCTGAGTGGGTGCCAAACGCCTCTCTACCAATGACGCTCGAAGCAACAGCCCGCCTCCAACAATCGTGCCACTGCCTTAAAGGCACAGGAGGGAGGAGTATGAGTTGTAATCGGAAATAAAAGGAACAGAAATTCACTGGAAGCCCATAAGCGGACCATGAGAAATTGTGACAGTTTCGAATGCCCGACTGAGCCCGGAGGACCGAATAATGTAAGGTAGGTTGGCTATTTCAAAGTGTTCATAAAACTCGGAAATCTGTGAAAACTGCTAGGTATCTCTAACTCTCGTCAAACTCCGAAAAAATCCCATTAGTCTGCCTGAATTGGAGGAGAACTCTGACAGAAAATCCCCAGGATTCTTGATGCGCAAATCTATCTGAGAATCCTATGAAATTGCCGTCCCCAGAGGGCCATTCTACCGGTAAAAGTCAGCAGTACGTACCTGATAGTTGAGATTCTGTACTTCCTTTTCAAGTAGTGCATTCTTGTTTTCGAGATCGCCAAGTTTACCACGAAGATCGCCAATGTTGTCACGCATTCTCTTAACCTCCTCGCGTTGGTAGGTCGATTCCATTGCGGCACGATTCGCTGATCCTTGCACTTCCGATACCTAAACTCGCCAATTAGGACCCTTTGAAATGTTTGGGGCCTAAACTCCAAAAGATACCGACCTTGAGTTTGTACCAACTTTCCATATCCTGTTTACCCTGTTTGGCGATGTAGTCGTACTCATCCTTGATATCTCTGAAGAGGAAGGATTTCATGGCACAAAGAAGCTCTCTGGGCGCATAAATGGCCAAATCAGTACCTGATAGCCAGAGCCAATTCGTTCTTGAAGAATTCACGGGTGTCGGCTGGTGCTTGAGCGAGAAGTGCCTGCAGTTCTTTGACTTCTTGTTCGTGGACTCTGAAAGAGGAGAATTTTCTATAGGTGTTCTTATGCGTGAACAGGGCATGTCACACGTTCGTCATCTTCAAGGAGGGGGAGGAGTTATCTCTGAATTTGCGGTGGTTAATCTTAAGTGTCCACCCCTCCCTCGTTCGTCGGCAAAAAGAAAACCGGTAAGGTTGTCGGCCGGTTGTGAGGGTGTCGTACAGGAGGAAAAGATTGGCGAGGATCGCGTTTGGGAAAATTCTTCTCAACGCCTGGACGTTCCTGCGTGTTTAGACGCCCGGCATCATTGCTAACCTCCCTCCCGCAATTTTCCTCTGCTTGTACAATCCTAAGGAGTGGGCAATCTAGGTTGGATACGACCTCATCCATCTAAGACGATTTTCTCCCCAAGTGACCAAGTAGCGTGCGCGCCGCCTGATGGGATTTCCCCGCAGGTTTCTTTTGAACCATAACACGTAAGACTGCCATCCAGGATGAGGACGCTTAGGCCAGAGAAGCGCTAGGTCATGTTCGAATTCCGACCTAAGGCAAATCTCTTGAATCCCTGAGCGCAGTATTCACTTGACAAATTACTCTGAAAATAATTACAGAATGACATATCTCTTGGCAATAAGTGTTCACAAACACGTGAGCGCTTAAGGATCCTGTGTAGTCCAAATACTTAATCATACTGTAAATACAAGATCACGGTTAAGTAAAATATGTCCAAACCTGCGGAGGAATTCGAGCTCCTCCATGAGCGTTTGCTACTTGGTTTTGGAAATCAATGCGGCCAATCGTTTCTTCATCGAGATCCTGAAGGGAGAGAAATAAGGATTTTCAACGATAAGTTTTATCTTATTTATTTATTTATTTGCTTATTTATTTATTTATTTAGTTCGGACTCACGTTTCTGGCTTTCTGAAGATCTTCCCAGATACGAGCATTGTCGTTATTCAGACGTTTCTCCTCATCAGTAAGCTGCTTCCATCTGAAAAGAACTCTCTACAGGAGTGGACATTGTAATGATCAAACCAGCTTGATTTTGCGAATCAATTATCGATTCATCGATTTTCGTCCACGGAGTTTTCCCTGGGTAGTTTATTTTCTGAATTTCTAGTTTGTTTTCGATTTTTCATACCTGGCACGAAGCATTTCTAGCTCATTTTCCGCGTCAGCAATCGCATTCGTCCACTGAGCGATCTTCTCTCGATCCGCTTCTCTTCGGTGCTGGATATCTTCATATCTGCAAGAAGGAAGTTGGAAATCAAAGAAACATGAAATTCAAGACCAAAATCCAACGAAAAGGGTAAACGATGAAGCTTTCAAGGCTGGCTGGTCCCTTTTGGGACGCGCGCTTTTCCCCTCATTTAGAACTGCATGCCTTTTGACTGCCACTTGTTCCACGTACATAATGAGTATGGGGGCCAGTTGAGGTGAATGTTTCCTGGTTTCTCGCACTCTCTCGGACAAATCTGCTACCAACCAACAAAACGACCTCGGAATGTTGGAATGCCTGGTTGACTTGGGTAGAAGTCGGACCACGATTTTTACACCAAAGCCGTATACATGGCAAGCGGCCAGCTTTAGACCCGAGAAACAGCATAGTGACCGCCTCCTTTGGTAAGAACTCCCTCCCCCAGCTATAGCTTTCGTCGAGGAGGGAGCAAGTGAGGGGATGTGACGGCGCCAAACTAGAAAAACTGGAGGCACATAGCGCACACGCAAGAGCAAAAATTGCGAAAAGTTAATAGCCAGAGAAAACCAGAGAAAATTTTAATCTTGGAAAAACTCCTATCAGGGCCAGATACCCACATTTCGCCCTGGCAATTCAAAAATGTTCTCATAGTCATGTGGCAGAGGCGTGAAGATCGCAGCCAAAATAGCCCTTTCCGCCAATTGTTGAGGACCTAGGGTGGCATCATTCATGGAAAGGCCGCCTTAGCAGCACCAGCGCCTTAGGGCCAGAATGTCTTCCCGAGGAAAGCATCGCGATTTATGCTCTTGGCTCATTTAAGGTGAGGCTGTGGGAAGGCAGAATATCCCCTTCTATTGCACCATAAAATATGCGAGCTAGAAGCAAGAACAAGAGCTAGGATCTTGAGCAACCCTGGGTCCCGTTTTGGGTACCCGTCCCAGGGTACAGCCATCGTGATGTGTGAAATGGTGGTCACAGACGACCACTTCACCGCCTCTGAAAAGGGTCTCGGTGCGACCCCTTCTCGGCTCGGTACTCACCCCGCTCCCCAAAACTACTATTTCCTGCAGGTACCCAGCTTCCTACCACTTTTTTACGAAATTTCCCCGAAAATTTGCTACTTTCTCCCCAAAAATGTTAAACGGGGAAAAGCGCGAAAAGTCAAGAACCGGAAAAATTTCAACGCGGCAAATGTCTCTCGAGAGCACATACGACCCCCTCTCCTCTCCAGCGGCCAAGTACGACCCCCACCATTTGTTTCGCACAACGATGCTGTACCCTGACCCGTCCTGACTCAAAAATCCACACAAATTTCATCAGCGTTCGAAAGATTCTTGTACTACGATATGCTTCAGTGAGTTACGAGGACATTCCCACTGCATTCAGGCGGAACTTTCAATAGAACGAGTCTTGAAAGGATGCAAATGCATATGTATTAAGTGTTTTTCTATCCCGATAAGCTCTATGGAACCAGCTTTAACCAGTTACTGATCAGCAGCTGTTCTCGGATGAAAGGCTCCCATCGTTGATTATGCTTTTCATGAGCTTCGAGCTTTCATTCCCACCCATCCTGTACACGATCGTATACACGATTGTATCGTTACCGGTTGACAGAGGTGCACTCCACAGCGATGAGAGGGGTCGAAACTGCGGAGTGCGGTATCGCGCCATGACGGGGATCTCCAGGATTTCTGCCCCCTCTAAATAGTGCTCGACTTCGACAGGCTTGAGTTTCAGCATGGGTGTCATTAGGTCTCCAAGGCGAACAACGCTCCTTCCTTCGAAGGCCAGTTTTCGGTGCAGGTTAGCACGGTAAGGGCATTTCGCTGGTTTTCATAAATCACCGTCGTTGCCCTGCCCTCTAAGGTTTTCACCACACGAGCCACCAAGTAGGCAATTACGGCGCGTTTCTCCTCC